TCATTGAAAGCATTAAAAGTGGAGTGGGTCATTTCTGTACCGGCACCAAACAGAAATGCAAAAATAATAATGACCAGTTTCCTGAATGTTCCCCTGCTCTGACATAAACAACTCGCTCCATAAATTGAGTGCAGTCTTATTTTAGTATTATTTGTAGTTTTTATTAATATTTTGAAAATAGATTTTTTTTTTCTTTTATTTATTTTCTTTTAATAATTTATTATATACCGTGTATAGTCAACATTTGAAGTGGATCAATACACACACATATATAAAGGTGAATAAAAAAAAAATCACCTTTAACATTACATGTTCAGAATGTCATGATTAGTCACTTGGTACTTTTTACTGTATCATGTTTATCACTTGTCTTTGTTTGCGTGTTCAATCATTCACTTAACTGATTTGTTAAAAAAGTTGATTTCTTATTAAACAAAACAAGTGAATTATGATCAAAACAATTAATTATTTATGCATATCCGTTCAAAAGACTCATGTCTTTGAAAGAAACATTTCTTATTATCAGTGTTGAAAAAAGTTGTGCTGCTTCATGTTTTTGTTGAAACCATGTAAAAGCTGTAAAGCTTCGTCTCTTGCACTGGTTAAGCCAAGAACCAGAGGGGCAAGACTATGTGTCACACATCTTAGTCAGAGAGAGAGAGAGAGACCCATCATGTGACATTAAAGAGAAATGAAAGGCCAAAATACTGCCAATAAGAATTAAAGGGGTCCTATTATGCTTTTTCACTTTTTCAACTTTAGTTAGTCTGTAATGTTGCTGTTTGAGCATAACAAAGATCTGCAAAGTTACAAAGCTCAAAGTCCACTTCAAAAGGAGATATTTTATTTAACAGAAATCACTTTTCAAAAACTACAACGAATGACTCGTTTGGATTACAATGCATATTTTCCGGGATTTGTGATATCACAAATACAGACGAATGGTACGAGACCTGGTTGAGCTGCACTAGAGAAGGCAACGAATGTTATCACAATGTCAGAGACACGCTAGATTTCCCAAGGCAGACGAACTTAGAGTGGTTACAATCATTTAACCCCGGGTTTAAATCTCACTCAAATTGATTTGATTTTGACACAATATTTACACTGAAGCTCGCAGGCCGGCGGCTATGGTAAGGGGCAGACATTTCCTGACCAGGCGCCGAGTGCTGCCAATCACAACACACACTGTCCCAGCTAACCAATCACAGCACATTTCGTATTTCAGAAGGCGGGCCTTCATTTGATACAGGAACTGTTCTAGCCGTTCATGCCATACTGGGGAGAGAGGTGTTGTAATAATGTAAAATATGTGAAAAATAATGTGTTTTTCGAAAGAACCTAGTATGAGAGCCTGTTCTAGTACACCCCCAAAACAAAATCAAGACTTTGTAAAAGAGCATAATAGGACCCCTTTAAAAAAATCTTTTGCATTTCTATCACTCACTGAAATTTTTATCCTTTATGCACATATATAGTTTCACTGAGTGTTTCTATTTGGCTAAAAGAATGTTACAGCATTTAAATAATCAAATGCTGTTGCGTTTCCACATTTACCTCCCTAATTTGAATGTACAATTTCACTATCTGTGAATCTCATTATACTTTCCCAACAACTTGTTTTCAGTTACGAATTATATGGCATTACCTGATAGGCTCTGTCATTCCTTTTTAGATGCCCACAGGCCATCGTTATTTGCATGCCTGCTTATTTTGAGCAGGTGCAAAGATGCCATATGGCTTCCATAGAAACTCCCTCAAAGACGAAACAAACATGGACTAATTTTAATTTCCTCTGCTTATTGTGCACACCATTAATCAGCCAAATGTTTTTTGGAGCTGTATGATTAAGGTTCTTTCAAACCATCTAAAAAAACGCAACGTTTAGAAAGCTTCATTTTAGCAGCTGATGACAAGTGAAGTGCAAGCTGTGAATGATACAGTTTAGTTGAAGATGGTAAATCAGCGAGTTTGGGAACCCAGCGCATGGCAGGTGATGCAAGCAGCAGCAGGTGTTGAGCTGCATGCAGTGCACACGTTCCCTCTACAGGAAGCATCTTACCTCAGGTACAAGCTGAGCAGAAAGGGAGGTTTTAGTTTCTTTATGAATCGCTTCTAAATGGCCAATGAATGTTGCCATTTTCACTTTTTTTGAGTCATTAAAATGATTTTTGGGAAAGATATTTAAAGGAATAGACCACCCAAAAATGAAATTTTGCTGAAAATGTACTCACCCTCAGGCCATCCAAGATGTAGATGAGTTTGTTTCTTCATCAGAACAGATTTGGAGATATTTGGCATCACATCACTTGCTCACCAATGGATCCTCTGCAGTGAATGGGTGCCGTCAGAATGAGTGTCCAAACAGCTGGTAAAAGCATTGCGATAATCTACAAAACTCCAGTCCATCAGTTAACATCTTAAGTGAAAAACTGTATGTTTGTAAGAAACAAATCCATCAAGATGTTTTTAACTTTAAACTGTTCTAAAGTCTTTTTATCTGAATATATCTGAAATATGCACAGCTCAAGCAATGTTTACAAGCAAAAACAGTTCTAAACCAATATCTTGGTATATTTTAATGTGAAAAGACAAACGGGATAGACATTTCACTGTGTTATTATGGAATGGTATTTTGATGGCTAAAAGTTCAAATGCCTGATGAATTTGTATATTATAAACACACAGTCATGTGGATTATTTGTGGATTACTGTTAGGACTCTCATTCTGACGGCACACATTTACAGCAGAGGATTCATTGATGAGCAAGTAATGTAATGCTAAATTTCTCCAAATCTGTTTCCATAAAAAAAAAAACAACTCATCTACATCTCGGATGGCCTGAGGGTGAGTACATTTTCAGCAAATTTTCATTTTTAGTTGAACAGTTCCTTTAAAGATCCTATTGGTACACTATTCCTTTAAAAAAAGATATTCATGTGCCTGGATTGTTGTCACTTTCAAAGTCCTTGTTGAGCAAACAGAAGATGGTCTACAGTTCATTGAAGAAACTCTGAGGAATTTAAAGTGGGTGTCGTGGTAGAACTGGTTATGTTTGTCAGATTCTTTTTCTCCAGACTTGATTGCCCCTTTTCCACTTCCTTTTCCTTGAATACCATGCCTCCCATAATGCAGAGCCTTTTCAACCTCCTTCATGCACTTCCTTATGTTTTTGGGAGTAACAGCCAGCTGTTATGATGAAGTGACAAGATTGAAATCCCCTGAAATTTGTGTGTGAGAACTCCTGCGACAGGTAATGTGACTGCACGTCCCATGTGCATTTATAGTAATATGTCCTGCATGACACCTGCTGTTTTCCACAAATCCTTCCTCTCATTTTGCTTTTAGAGTACACAAAATGAAATCTAACCAGCTGAGAATACTGTAAAGCCATATTTTTGTCTAATTTTCCAGTTAAAGTAACTAATACTCCTTAAAACAAGGCAGATTTACTTGAAAAGCAACTCTGCATAAATTATTAAGACTTGCTTTCAGAAAATATATCTGTAATACAAATGTATTTTGTCTTACTGTACTGGCAGGTTTTTTCACTTATATAAACAAGTTAAAAACAAGTGAAAAAAGACTGTCAGTGCAGTAGGACAAAATACATTTATATTCATGATACATATGAAAACAAGTCTTAATATCTTATGCAGTGTTATATTGCAGTGTAATATATTTTTAGATATTTTGCAGAAAAACAAGTAAACAAGACGAATTAAAAACTCATTAAGACCCAGAGTGTTGACATAACATAAAAAGCGCTTGGATTTCTCAATGTTTATACTGGCTAGTCTATGGTTTTAGTGAATCTGTTTAGCCAGATTCGTAATAGTTACACCATTAGGTGGCAAGAAGTGTTTAAATGCCTGAAATAAGATTGAACTAACATTAAGAAAACAACAAAAGCAAAACACAGTGGAGTTTCTGAAAAGTAGGCTACTTGTAGTGAAACAGATTTGGCTGTCAATCATAAAAAAAGAACATATGGATAAACTGAAGCTGTTGCACTGGATCTCTGACAAAGTTGCTATAGCACACGGTCACTACAAAGACAACAGCTGCGCACCCCACCACTGCTGATATTTCATTGGCAGATGAACTCACTGACTTAAAACAATGAGCTTGCCATCAAACCTCACAATACACCAAAAAATATAATGTATGCTTCAGCTTTCCAGATGTGAGGAGCACGGCATCCTACTGTTAAGAAAGTGAAAACTCTCAAAGCAGTTTTCAGCTTTTGCCCCCAAATCTTCATGCATGAAGCAACTGTCTCCTGTTTTCAGTCATCTTGTTAAAGAACAATGTTACTGCCAGTGCTTTGGAAAACAAAGTCAAGGCTGAATAATTACTGTCTGACGTTGTTTATTTTGTAACCGAGTTCCAGAAAAATTTATAGCTAAACCTGTTTTCTGCCTCAGCCTTATAGTTAAAAAAAATGGAATTTGTTTTCCCAGTTCTTGTCTGTTTTAACTTAAATAACGCTTCATATTTAACCCTTTTTCTTTATGTAAACATAAATCCAAGAACGTTTTGTGAACGTGCAGCTCTAACTACATTTTTGAAGTCGTTTTTGTATTTTTACACAAATTCATCTCATTCACGTAAAGTCTGTGTGTTGGTATCATGTTCTATATTTGCTATTAATATTTTGTTTTCTTTCATACCTCTAGCCAGTCATAACTCTAGCCAGTTGTTCAAGCCTGAAAAAGGTTACTGTGGGTTTCGATTAAAATGCTAATCAATTGCACAGGGGCTATTTATAATAATTATAGTTTGAACTAAAAATAAAAACCTAACTTGGCCAACCCTTACGTTTCCATAAGCCTTTTTATGTCGTTATGATCATGATCATAATCCCAGTTTGAACAAGACATCACGCCTCTGTACTTTAAATCCGGAAGACACGCCCACAACGAACTTGTGCACCGGCGGCGCAAAGCGATTGGCCAAGGCGCGCTGTCAATCACGAATCTCTGCCATTCCTTCCGTTCCGCCAACGAGACTTTACACAGATGTGTTTCAGGCGTGATCAGTTGAGGCGGTGGGACTTCGTTCGCGCAGCGGGATCAACTTCTTTCAGAGGATCTACCGTCTCCTATTCGGACAACTTGAGTTCAATGTAACAGGCATCGTAAGCAGCGTAGGTCAAGGTGATCGGGGAGTTACTTTGTGGTAGAATTGAACACATTTAGACGGGGTTTTAAACGCAGAAGAAAATGCCTGTAGCTTCTCTCCTGCCTTTCACGGCCACCCCGAATAGGAAGTCCGCCAGCCCGACCTCCTTCAGGCTCACGGAGAAATTCATCCTGCTTTTAGTGTTCAGCGGCTTCATCACCCTGTGTTTCGGAGCTATCTTCTTCTTGCCGGATTCCTCGAAGCTGCTCAGCGGAGTTTTCTTCCGCTCGTCGTCGGTGGAGGCAGAGACGCGCACAGGTACGGTCAGTGACACAAGCACCGGGACGGGCAAGGATGAGAAGATCCTGGCCAAGATCAGAAAAGACCACGAAAAGGCGCTGATTGAGGCCAAGGACACCCTACAGAAACGGCCGGACGAGATCAAGCAGGACATCAACAGCGACAAGGCGAAACTTGTGCAGAACGGACAGGGGAAAGGAGCGAAAGCTGACAGCTTGCCGTTCGTTCAGTACGCGCGGCCGCCTGGAGCAACAGGGCACGAACCCGCCGATCCTGACGTTAAAGCGAAAAGAGCCAAGATTAAAGAGGTATTGTGTGTTTTTATTAGATGTTCTCCAGTGGTTTGCTCAGATTCTCGAAGGAAATCACGTCAGATATTGTTGTGAAAATAACTTTCCACGTGTAACTTGGCGAAACCAAGTGCTGTTATTAATATCAGTTTATTGTCACTACTAGTGGCTAGAGAACAAAACGAGAGTAGTGTTGACAGTCAATTTCAGGAAGCGTTTCCCCATGAGGAAAATGCAGCGTTGTAATAGGCTACGATAGATACGTAGACGTGTTGTTGTGGAACCTGTATGGTCTGACAGTTCGATTGATGGACAAGAAACTCCTGTCGCTCACAGAAGAACGCGCGCTCATTCATTCCGTCGGTCATTCACCGAACTGTAGTTTGTTCAAAACTGACTGACAGTATTTTAGTCAGTATTCCCCCTTTTTCACTCAGTATTTCAGTCCGCGCTCCCTGTTGTCAGTATTAAGTCAACATTCGTCAGTACCCCCCCCAAGTCAGTTTTCACTGTATTTCAGAAAGCAGTGCCTGTCAGTAGGTACTTCAGACAGTGTTCCCCTCTCTTCAGTCTGCACTTCTTCTATTTCAGTTAGCATTCCCTGTTTTTCTGTATTCGAGTCAGTTTTTTAGTACTTTAGACAGTGATGCCTTCTTTTTCAGTCAGTATTGCTATTTTTTAGCATTTCAGTCAGTATTTGCTATAGCTAGGAATGTTTCCCGTATTTACATGATTTTCAGTCAGTATTTTAGTCAGTATTCTCTGCTTTTTTCAGTTAATATTTTGGGCAGGTTTTATTTTCAATATTTCTGTCAGTATTTCCGTTTACAGTCCTTGTTTCATTTTATGTTTTTTTTTTTCAGTATTACCTGTATTTCCGTCTGTATTTAGCTGATTTTCAGTATTGCAGTCAGTATATTAGCCTGTATTTTTCAGTCAGTATTGTAATTAGTAAGACTGTCTGTATTTCAGTCAGTATAAAAGTCTTTATTCCTGTCCCTTTTTTCAGTGATTCAAGCTAGTGCTCATATTTCCATTAACATTTGTCTATATTTCAATATCTATTCCCTATTTCACTCAGTATTTTAGTTTGCATTTCCCTGTTTCCCCCCCCGGTTAATCAGCATTGCATACGTTCCTAGCATTCCCTGTTTTTTAGTCAATATTTATCTTAGTATTCCTGTATGTGTTTCACTTTCTATTCCCTGTATGTCAGGCTGTTCAGTCATAACTGAGCTAGAGGTTTTTACGTGATAAGGGCAACCTTTTTGTTTAAATGTAAACTGGGCAAATTATATCACAAGTCTAAGGTACGTCATCACTATCATGTTCCTGATATGTTAACAGTAGTGATAATAGTAAGCCAAAACCTATCTAGGTTTTGTTACAAGGTTTTGTTACTAGTTACAAGGGCTAAGTAACTTATGCTGATATGCACTATATAACAGAATCCCTTTGTTTTGATGAAGTACTAGTAATAATATAAAATATATATCAAATATTGGCTAATAACCAATATAGTGGTAGATATTTAGTGCATCCCTAATTAATGACCATCTCAATCATGTTTTCCCTACGTTATCATTCACAAATCAACAACGTTGATTTGATTTGTTCACCAGTCTTTTTTGAAATTACATTAGCAAAATACACCAAAATTGTAGACTAATTGATATCACTGTTGATTATATTCTGTATTTTACCAGAGATAGCATTGAAAACTACAGTAATGACTAGTAATATTTTTTGTTGTATGTATAGCGGTAGAGATGCCTCGATCAGGTTGAGTTGAGCTCATCTCAATGTCTTGGTTGAGGTGACCTGTTAAAGCGTTAACTATGCGCTTGTAAAGGAGCATAAACAAGGCTGTCATTTCTTGTTTCTGTCAGGATGGTGCATTTAGAGCATGTCAGGCCAGTCTAATAATCCTCAGTACGAGTCGAATGTAGACTTCGCATCAGCTTGATTAAATTAAATTTGCTATTGATTGAGACTCCGTTATTCCCATTTGAATCAGGCAAGTCCAGAGTAAAGATGCAGATGAAAACTGACAGCATGGTAAAGCTTTAAAATCGCCTTTCAGCTGGTATTGACCTTGTGTCCTTGCTTTTTTTTTTATGTAAGCAAATAGCTGGTTTCTGGAATTCCTCCTAGTTTATCCTCCACAATGAGTCACTACGTTTCAGTTTCAGTTATTTGCATAAGGAAATGGTGTCTGTGCTCCTACGCTGTCCTTCAAATTTACATTGTGTCACTTTGTAATTCTAGTTTATGCTCTGAGATTTTGCCCTACTCTTTCCTTTTGCTGTGAGTAAATTCAAGCATGTGACTAAAAGGCTATTCCATTCACACTTTATCTAAATGGCTAACAGTGGAAAACCTGCTGATAATACGGTTGCTCCTCAGAGTTAGTCCGCCAGAGTTGGATGAGTTTTAATGCCAGGATTAAACCGTTATAAAGTCAAGCACATTAGTGCATGCGGAAGCCTCCAGTTCCTCTCCAAGACCATTGGTGTTCCTGCGGATCTGACAAGTCCCTCATCTCTCCTGCTTAATGCAGTGGCTCAGCATGAGAACAGTGATAATTCACCCCTGAATAGCGGGATTTCATCCATTGATCGCTGGCATGACGGAAACAAACAATCACAGCTGGACCCTGTGGGGTCTCACTTGTCAGACGGGCACTGCGGGCACTCTGTCTCGCCCCGCCAGACACTCTGACCTTTGAGGAGTTGAATTGCCTTAGAAAATAAATTGATCTCAAGGTTATGAAGTAAAAATGGTTGTGAGATTCTTTTTTTCTTGCTTTTATAACTAAAAAGTCCTCAAAATTATTGAAAATAATTAAACCGTCAGTAATAAAAAAAGCAAAGGACAAATACAATAGAATAAAAAGATACAAATGAAACCAACTGTGCTTTAATGTTTTTATGCAAGCCTCAGTTTACAGCCTACTACAGAAATGTATAATCAAATGTAAAATAAAACAGCGTAGTGTTCGCTGTAAGAATTAAACTTTTTAGTTTTTTATTAAAGCTACAAAAGTCCTTCACTCAAGAGCCATGTGTGATTTTGAATTTGTCTTTTGTTGTTTAATTAATATCAAGCACACAGTCGCAGCAGGAAAATAGCCCGCTGTCACTTTAAGAGCGGCACGGATCCAATTTACTGTTACACGCGTATTTTAATTCTAAGCGCTGCGTTTTGACACATTTTTGTGTGTATTTGACCGTTTAGGCGCACAACTTGAGCTAAAAGATGACTTTACATCGCATATATCTTCCTGAGGAGCAGCGCAAGTTCTCTTTCACGCTTTTAAAAACATGAATAAATATACTTCTATAAATCAAGCACGTCCCATTTTGCAAAGGTCACGTTACATGATTTTACTGATTTGCATGTGAAATTGGGCTTTTATGGAGGAACGAAAGCGCAGCGCTGGAAAAGGGGGCAGAATGGGGCGCAATAATCGTTTTATCTCGATTATTGTATTGGCCAAAATCGAAATCGAAACTGTTTTTCGATTAATTGCACAGCCCTAGGTCACAGTGACATTTACAGGGCTGTTTTTGACTCTTTGCATATGTTTTTGAATTTTTTCATATGTAATAGGAATGCATATTTCTTGATTGACAATAATGATGGAAAACAGATTAATCATTACTGGTATTAAATTTCATATTCTTATGTAAATATTTAAAAAATAAATACTGATATTCTCAAATATGTAATTACTTAAAGCTGCAGTCCATAACTTTTTGCGCTCTAGCGGTTAATAAACAGAACTGCGTGCATCTTGCGGAAGAACATTTTAGCCGGAGCTACTTCTCTCTGTTTATGTCTGACGAATCACGCAGGTACTGGGCTACTCCGCAGCGGTACCTACCCGAACCAGTCTAAAATAGTCAGAATATAAACACTTATTATAGGTGTACCGTAGTGATTCAGGACAAGCCAAAAACACGGTTTGGAAAATGGATTCATGGTGTACTCGCTTATTATATACATTTTGTAAATTTTGAACACACAAAAAAAAAAAGTTCCGGACTGCAGCTTTAATAAATAAATATTGATAAATATATTTATTTCAGATACACTACCGTTTAAAAGTTTGGGATCAGTAAGATTTATTTTTAGAGAAATTACTTTATCGGAGTGTCTATTTACACTAATGGCGCTTTTCTACTGCATGGTACGGCACGGTACGATTCACTTTTGGGGGGTTTTTCCACTGGGTACAGTTAGGGTTGTGACGGTGAGGAAATTTTCCCACCGGTTAATCGACGTGTGACAACACCGGTAATACCGGTATCACCGTGGGGCGTTCCTTCTTTTCCTCGCTTTCCTTCGCTTTTAAATAGCTTGTAAAAGCTGTGCGCGCGTTTTACTTTTACTTTCACTTTCAAATAGCGGCAATTCGGAGTAAAGCAATTGTTCGTTTTTAGTTCGTTTGAATTTTCCCTCTTTTCCTCGCTTTCCTTCGCTTTTAAATAGCTTAAAAGTGCTGTGCGCAATTTACTTTTACTTTTGAATTAGCGGCAGTTAGGCGTCAATTGCTTGAATGCAACAACAAAATACAACGTCAAACTCACTTTAGCGTATATATAAAACATAGAACTTTTATTAACAAAACAAATACAAATACACCATGCTATAGGGCAGGCTATGCCTAATATAAAATAACAAATAACTTACATAAAGTTTAAATAGGTATACAAAACTGGAAATA